CATAAAAGAGCTTTATGCTTTCGTTCTAGAGTCCAGTTGTATAAAACAGATGAGAAGATTTATAATGGGTTTTAAGTATATAAGATGCAATTGTATAATAAAAGTTTTAGGACCATCTTCTTACTCTTTTTAAAAATAAACATAACATAAATCCATTGTTAAAAACAGTTACATGGTGAGAAGAGCTAAGATGATCCCAAGGGGATTCAGTGAAGATGTGATTAAGTTGTGATAAATTGATTTAATCTGAAACAAATTCAATTGCAGAGTGAAGAAAGATTAATCTAGAGGTATATAAATTAAATTGTATTCATTAAAAAGAGCATTTCTAATTGATCTCTATCTAAGCACAATTGAGGAGCTTTTTAATTATCCAGGTTTTATGAAACAATCTCGTGCTTCATTTTCACTACAAGTTAGTTAGAGCCGGTTATTTTGGGCAGAAGCAGTAAAGCCCCCCAGATAGTGGGAGTTTGAATCAGTCATGCCGCTTCCATGTGTAACTATCAGTCCCGCTACTTCTTCGACGATTTGGATCACGTACTCCACGTGTTCGATGAAATTCCTCAACGAGAATTAAGGTTTGAAAGCTGTGCTCTGTTTTTACCAGGAAAGAGCAAAAGACTTACCTTCAGAAACAAGGCTTTCAGAAACCACGAATAAATATCTGATTGGTTAATGTTCTCATCATCTGATTGGTTTATTTAGTCATCTTTCAATTTGATGCAGAGTGTTGATGCCTAACGTGGAAACACCACCATCTTTCATTCTGAGGTCAATCTCAATGGGGGTGGGGGTTGGCGAAAATGTTGGATTCTTTGAGGTCAGATTGTGAAATAGATTGCGTAATTGACTTGGTAAAAGTTGAACTTCTTCGTGGCAGTTACGTAAGTATTAGCAACATATATTTGATATTATTATTAGAGAATTCAGGTCTTTGGAACATACAGTATGGTCAACATTGTTTATAGGTGTTTGAATATAATTCTCACAAGTCCCTGAGTTTTGTTTTTCTTGCTCTAATTATATGTTCTCTTCATCAACTAGTTTGAGGAAGATAGTTATTGGAGAGACAAAAGCACATGGGAAAGAAATGGATCGTGTTCTTTGCTTCTTTGGTCTTGTTTACCATGTTTTCAAGTTTTTGCTTTGCAGGGATAACGACAGAAAGTCCTTTGTCAATAGGACAAACTCTCAGCTCTTCTAATGGAGTTTATGAATTGGGGTTCTTCAGTCTTAACAACTCCCAGAATCAGTACGTTGGAATCTGGTTCAAAGGTATCATTCCTCGGGTGGTTGTGTGGGTGGCCAATAGAGAGAACCCTGTTACAGACTCCACGGCAAATCTAACTATCAGCAGCAATGGGAATCTTCTCTTATTGGATGGAAAACGTGGCGTTGTGTGGTCCATTGGAGTCACTTCTGCATCTAACGGGTCTCGTGCAGAGCTTTCAGACAGCGGAAATCTTTTGGTCATAGACAATGTTTCAGGAAGAAATTTATGGGAAAGCTTTGAGCATCTTGGGGATACTCTGCTCCCTTCCTCACCCCTGATGTACAATCTTGCCACCGGTGAGAAGCGGGTGTTGACTTCGTGGAAAAGTTACACTGATCCATCGCCTGGTGACTTTGTAGCTCAGATTACACCGCAAGTGCCAACACAGGTGTGTATTATGAGAGGGTCGGCGCCTTATTATAGAACCGCTCCATGGGCTAAAATAAGGTTCACCGGGGTACCGCTAATGGATGAAACATTAGCAAGTCCATTTAGCTTTCAGCAGGATGCAAACGGGTCAGGGTCTTTCTCTTATGTAGACAGGAACTTCAAACTTTCACGTCTAATTTTAACATCAGAGGGCCATCTGAAGAGGTTTCATCATAGTGGGACCGACTGGAAAGTAGCCTACGAGGCTCCAGCCAATTCATGCGATTTTTACGGTCTGTGTGGACCTTTTGGGTTGTGTGTTATGTCAGAACCTCCAAAGTGTAAATGCTTCAAAGGGTTTGTACCAAAATCCACTGAGGAGTGGAAAAGAGGAAATTGGACTAATGGTTGTGTAAGGCGTATCAAACTAGAATGTCAAGCAAACTCTACTGGCAAAGTTGCAAATGTCTTCCATCCTGTTGCCAACATAAAGCCTCCAGACTTATACGAATTTGTAAGTTCCGTGGATGCTAAAGACTGCTACCAAAGATGCCTCCACAATTGCTCTTGCTTGGCCTTTGCTTATATTCGTGGAATCGGGTGCTTAATATGGAATCAAGAGCTAATAGACGTAGTGCAGTTTTCTGCGGGAGGAGAGCTTCTTTCCATTCGTCTTGCACGCTCTGAACTCGGTATGGTTTAAAAATTTTATCTTCAACTCGTTTCATATTATTATTCTTTTCGGTAGTAACATTACTTAGTGTTTAATTTGTGGTGGTCTTATATATATCAGGTGGAAATAATCGCAAGAAGACCATTACTGCTAGTATTTTGAGCCTTTCCCTTTTTGTGATATTGGGTTCTGCTGCTTTTGGTTTCTGGAGATACAGAGTGAGACATAACGGTAGCTATCTCTCTATCGACCTCTTGTTGTTTATCAGCACATTTGCTTGCTAAAAGTAACACACTGATGACTTTACTATCTATCTATAAATTCATGTAACTCTGATTCAGCTGTTATATCAAAGGAAGACTCACAAGATGCTTGGAGGAATGGTCTGAAAGGACAAGATGTCTCAGGTTTAAATTTCTTTGAGATGAATACCATTCAAACTGCCACCAATAATTTCAGTCTCTCAAATAAACTCGGGCAAGGTGGATTTGGCACAGTTTACAAGGTCAGATAATTTTTATCCTCTTTAGAGAATTTTTATCCTCTTTGCTCTTTTGTATTCCCCATTTATGTTCTCGAGATGATCTTCACCAATCTGTTTCAGGGAAAGCTGCAAGATGGGAAAGAAATTGCCGTAAAACGGCTTTCTAGCAGCTCGGGGCAGGGCAAAGAGGAGTTCATGAATGAAATAGTACTCATCTCAAAACTACAACACAAAAACTTGGTTCGAATTTTGGGATGTTGCATTGAAGGAGAAGAGAGGCTATTGATTTATGAGTTTATGATGAACAAAAGCCTTGATACTTTTCTCTTCGGTGGGTCTCTTCTTGCCTCATACCTTTTCTATTAGTAGTTTCTCTTTGTGTACAATACTTCGTATGATAGTTTTTACTCTGTATCATTGCTTAGATTCAAGAAAAAGGCTTGAGATTGACTGGCCTAAGAGATTCAGTATCATCCAAGGTGTTGCGCGTGGACTTCACTATCTCCACCGTGACTCACGCCTTAGGGTCATTCACCGAGACCTGAAGGTGAGCAATATTCTTCTGGATGAGAAGATGAACCCAAAAATATCAGATTTTGGATTGGCTCGGATGTATCAGGGAACCGAATATCAGGACAACACTCGCAGGGTTGCAGGAACTCTGTAGGAATCTATTATCAAAAACTTGCTTAACAATACATGGTCATAGTCATATAATTTAAAACATTGGTGAATTTTTTCGATATACGTGCAGAGGATATATGTCTCCCGAGTATGCATGGACTGGGACGTTCTCTGAGAAATCTGACATCTATAGCTTCGGAGTGCTGCTGTTGGAAATCATCAGCGGAGAGAAGATCTCAAGATTCAGCTATGGCGAAGAAGGAAAAACTCTTATTGCTTATGTAAGTAAGACATACATCTGCAAATGTTTCAAAACGTTTCTTGCAGACATTCTTAAAGATATTGAAATAAACAACAGGCGTGGGAATCTTGGTGTGAAACCGGAGGAGGTGATCTTTTGGATAAAGATGTTGCGGATTCATGTAAGCCATTAGAAGTTCAGAGATGTGTTCAGATTGGTTTGCTCTGCGTTCAACACCAACCTGCAGACAGACCCAACACACTTGAGTTGCTGTCTATGCTCACCACAACATCAGATCTTCCATCACCAAAACAACCCACATTCGTCGTGCACACGAGAGACGAAAAATTCGTGTCTAAGGGTTTGATCACTGTCAGTGAGATGACACAGTCTTTGATCCATGGGCGTTGAGAGACAATGTTATTGGAATTTGTAGACTTGATGTGTGGTAGATAGTTCATCAGCTTTTCAATGACGCAAATGTTCACGGAAATTGTATAGTAAAAGTAATAGGACCATCTTCTTTCGTTGATTACTCCTTTTAATAATAGACATAAACATTACATAAGTCCATGGTTAGAAACAATAGTTACATTATGAGAAGAGCCAAAGATGATCCCAAGAGGATTAAGTGGGACTTCGTTTAGTAAACCGAGATTTACAAGTAATACTGATATGTGAACGAAGAAAAGAAAAAATGTGATTAGGTTGTAAGAAATTTTATTTAATCTGAAACAAATTTAAATGCAGATTATAAAACTGCACATCGTTACATTTTTTGTATTTAACTTTTGTGTATACCCCTCTACCACCGTAAAAAAGCTCTTCCAGGGTTAAGTCCATAGAAATTTATGTTTGAGAAAACCTCAAGGATTACCAAGGAGCGTCGGCTTTGTTAACCAAAACTGCTCAAACCTTTGTCTTGCGTACTCCATGTAGTCGAAATCGATTTCATTCACATGTTCCTGCAAAGTTTTACAAAATGAAAATCAAACTCTAAAGTGTATATGTGTGGATACACAATGTACAGGTATGATAGAAGGTTTATCGTAGAAAATACCGATATAATTCCCCATAAACCCCAAGTTAGATGACTAGCAAGTGTATATTTCTCAACATCTTCAAGGAGTTTTTCGACCATAGTATCGCTGGGCACTTCTTCACCTGGACTCACAAGAACAAAAAGAGTCGAGAAAGTTAGAGCACAGTGATTTATTGCTGAAGCTCATAGAGAATGTGTGATGAAATGAGCACCTGAAGAATTCAAATATGTTTTCAGAAATCGTTGACGCTCCTCCACACCTGTTTGTTTGAGTCGCATATTAATATATATGGTTGATCTTTTGTCATTTTGACAAAATGAAGAAGAAATCTGAAATAACTACTTACCAGGGTATTTACTGTAATCCATGATGTGAGGTGTTTCAGTGTGGTAATCGGCAGCCATCTCGCAGAAGTGATTGGCAATGTCATAAGCCACAGGATTGTAACATGAATATTCATAATCCTATTTTTATTTGTAAGACAAAACAATAAAACCTGAGTTAGGATCCAGTAATGTCATACAACAAAAAGGAGAGCTGATTATGAATTTATGGAACCTTACAATGATGGTTATTGCTTTGGTCTCTTCATCCATCATTATGTTTCCATACTGTAAATCATTGTGGCAAAATCCAATATTTTCGTCATTCTTAAAGAGAGATTTCTCAAGCGAATTAATTTCCATCTCCATTTCATCGAGACGAAAGGACTTAGCTTCTTCTGGTGAAGCCAGTCTCTTGCATGCACTGAGCCAATTTCTGAAGTTGCAGGAAACAGAAGTTAAAAAAACTAATGATTTATCCGAAAGCAAAGTAGAATGTAGCGGAAGACAATGAAATGTACCGTAATCTGTCCCAAAGCAAAGCCTTCTTAACACCAGGCATTTCAAGACCGTGAAACTCTTTCATCCTAGTTGCTATGCGATCAGATATTGCAGGATCACGCAAATCAGAAGCAGATAGGGTCTGAAAGTTCGTAGTTTAACAGCGAATCTATAAATTCAGTAAACGAACATAAAAAGAGAACTACCTAGGATTTATAAAACTGAGGAAATGCAAAGATATTCAATAACTTAGGAACAAGGGGCATTTCAAAGAATAAGCTTCAAAGAAAAATTACCCGTGCATGGAGGAACTCTTCGATACGACCATTGCCAAACCGGCCTAACAACAACGGTCCATGACCATGCTTTGACATGAACTCAAACGTCCTAATCTCATCCTCACGGTCAAAGAAAATCTCAACACCTTCACCATAAATCCTAACCAAAACCTTACGCGAAGGACCACTTTCCCGAGTTGGCCATTTGATCTGAAAGACCTCATTAGTCATTGCACCTTTCAAAGGAATAACTAGCAAAGCCTTTGAATCAATCACATCTTCCCACTCTGATGCTATTGCTTGTAAAGCTTCCTTAACTTCTCGAGGCAGACGATATTCTTTATTCTCTACATTCTTTTCATTAGCACCCATCCTAAAATGCTTGCCCCCTCACACAAATTATCAATCCTGTGTACAAAAACTCGATTCAGCTACTCGGAATTGTATGTAACTCTAATAAAAATGTGACTTTTTTTTTTCAATCAAGGGAAGGTTCTGAGCCATCAAAATTCTATGCAACAATTCCTAAAAATTTCTAATTTTTCCAATATAAAACTATACGAGAATATCGAGATTAATCGAGGTAATAGTTTCTACAATAAAAATGGGAGCAATTAGATCAATCAATCGATTATTATACTTAGTTTTTTCCCAGGACGATTTTATTTGAGATCGTGACAACACAAGAGCCTTGAAAAAGGAAGAAAGCTTACGTTTTTAGAGAAAAACACACGAAGGATACGAGAGTAAGATTGGTCTGAGAGGAAAAATTCAAGAAATTTGTGAGACGATAATGGAGTTT